GAGGGAACTGAGTGTCAGAGAGGGGATGTGCCCAATCCAACGTCACACGGCTGGAAAGCATCAGAAGCAGGGTTTGAACCTGAGCAGTGTGGCTGCAGAGACCACACCCTCTGTTGTCCCTTAATAGAGATTTGGAGCAGCCAGTGGCATATTAGGAAAACCAGGGGCTTTGGAATCAAAGACGTTTTAGTCCTAATTCCAGCTCTGCCAACTTCTAAGTGGCCTTGGCCAAACAGGAGCCTCTGAGCCTCTTTCCAATCAGAGTCACAATTCTACATCGCACAGGGCTGTGCGAACCTGAACTGAGATGAAGTATTTAAAGTCCACCCCATGGTACCCAGAATGAAGAAAGTACCCTCTAAAGGTTAGTTCCCTTGTTCCTTTTTCTGTCCCTCCCTCGAGAATGGTTTGCATTTTATTAACCGTGGAACAAATGGCATTCATGATCAATCGCATGGATTAGAAGCATTTATGGATAGTGTTTGTAGGATACTCAACCAAGCAGGCCACTGACAATCAGCTGGGGAGGTCCTGGGGTTGTATCTGACAAGGCCTCCTGAAGATGACTTTGATAGTTGCTGATACTTCAGTGTCTCTATTTCAGGTGGAGTTTGCTGTCTGAGGAATTGGGGGTTTGGGGGTAGCTATTTTTAAAACAATGTGAGGCAGCTGGTGATGGCTGCTTCAGGGATAGCATGTGAGCCAAGTTCCAGGAGGGGAAAGCCATGAATCAGGAGTCATGTAGCAAGACAGGGTTTTCCTTCAGGCCGGATTTGGTCAGCACGGGTCCACGGTTCCCTTGAGGGATTCCCCAGCTGTATGCCTGGTCGGCCATGCTCTGGTAGAATGCCTCCGATTCCCCCATCTGGCCTGACTCACCCCAGCCTCCAGATTGCTCAGTGAAGCTGACCTTCATCAAGGTGCTGCTGGGAGAGTCAAATAGGACCCTAGCCGGCAGCAGGCATTCCCCTGTCCCGCCACAGGCTGGGTGGGAGGCTGAACAAAATGGTGTGCCTTTTCAGTTCTGGGAAAGGTTGGGTCTTCCCTTTACTCTCCAGCTCACACCTGGGACCTCAAAAATAGGAAAAAACATGAAGACTGGAAAAAATAATTATAATAATTATCAATGCTTTCTGAATCTCTGACACCAGTCCGTTAGTCATAGCCGCAATTTGGTGGCTGTGATGATAACACCTCGTTGGCCTCATTAACAGTTAGTGATGATTAATTACCTCATCCAATTGCCGGGCCAGGGAGGAGAGTGCTTGTTCACAAGACAGAGAAGCTGAGCACCAGGGGAAGGAGAGTGGGACACCAGGTGTGGGTAAAAGGCCCTTGGGGCAGAGGCTAATTTTAGTGCACCTGAGTCATGAGAGTGAAACCCCAGGTCTGAGATCAATCACTCAATGTCCCAAAGCCATCTAGAGGGCTTCAGGGTCATAGCCCCTCTTGACCCTTTAGGTGATAGGCAATGTTTTCCAACACCCCGGAGACCACAGCCAAGCCAGTCTTACCCCGGCATCATTACCATCAAGGTAGTCCCCAGTCACTGGCAGACACTTCTCATGGACCACCAGGTCAAGTCTAAATTCATATAAACACTTCAGTTCCCCCAACTGCAAAATGGAAATAAAGACACTGTCACTTTTGGGGGGAGGATAACATGAAATAAAAGATGGAAAGTGCCTGGTATAGCCAGTGGCATACAGTAGGCACTCAACAAATGGTTGTTCATTTCACTCCGGTTTCTCTCTATGGATTGTCCCCTCAAATACCCCAATGTTCTGCTCCCTGCTCTTAAACCACTCTTCCTTCCTTCCTGTCTCCTGTACATTCACTGATTACCACGCGATGGTGCCCTAGTTGTGTCTCCCCAGGGAAGCTGCCTCCCACGGCTTCGTTCTCACTGATACACCCCTTTCTGAGCCTGTTGATTTCAGTTTGGCCCTTGGTCACTGTATCCCTTCTTGGATTCTCCCTTCTAGGACACTGGGTGTAAGTTTTGTCTTCCATGTAGACTGTAGTTTCTCAAGTTTAGGAAACTGGGCTCGTTGCCTTGTATGATTCCCAACAGGTCACTAAGTGAGCAATAGTGTTTTAGAAGAGACCTGGGGGTACGGGTGGGTGTGTGGCAATGGAAAGTTACCCAAAGTGATGGGGAAACCAGCTGGGGCACTTCTGTTTGGGGATTTCCCTGGACCATGACCTGTACCAAGCCCCTTGCTTTGTAATCCTGCCATACCCTTTATTTTCTGTACCTATTTCTTCCCATGGTGCCTCTTTGAATTGGCAAAGGTGCTGTGGGATGGAGAATGTTGGGAATCTCAAGACATAGGCCAGTGAGTACATCCTTCACAGGCAGGATGAAGGACCCTTAAAATCTTATGCTCTTCAGATCTCTCAAGGCTTCCCAAGCCCTACCCCCATCCTGCCAGTCCTGTTCTGGACTAGGCATTTCTCTTGGTGGGGGAAGGGCGCAGGGAAGAACTCTCTTTTCTCTCTGCAAACAGCTCAGGCATAGGGGGACAGTCTAGATCCAGACACATGGGCCAGCTGAAGAATCTGAGAATTAGAGTAACAGCTCTGGCATCCAGGGCTGGATTATTCATCCAGCAACAGTCTGTGAGCAGTGGTCTGCTGTTAGAGGTGATTGTTGTTTAGGATGAGACCCTAACCATTTTCTTGACACATTTTACTTTCTTTTCATCCATCTGGGTTTATTCTGTCATTTACACAGTTTGCCTTCTGCTCTGGGGCTGCTATTCAAGGACCAGTCCTGGATGATACTTGGTCAGGTGTAGGCTTTGAGTTTGTTTAGCCCAAGCTGATACACCTGTATTATGCTCAGATTGGATGCCTCAACAGCCTGACCTATCTCCTCCTATTTACCATCTGCTTTCTACTCTACCCAAACCAAATCACCCTTGTACTCTTCCCTATACTTCAGGATTGTAAAATGTAAAATGCTAGAGCTGGAAGGACTACCTAGTTTACCTTGTTTCTCTTGCCATGGATGGGGAGAGAGACCCAGGGCCTGGGAATAACTTGCTGTGTGCTCATATGGCCTCTGAACATAAATAGCTGTGTGCTTGCCTACCCCAGGATCAGAGCCTACCCTCAGGTTATTTCCCATCACCCACTCTTATATTCGCTGTGTCTGAATCAGTGACTCCCTTCTCATTATTCCTTCTACTACCAATCTTAAAAATCACCTTCTCCATGAAGCCTCTTTTGATTAACTCAGCTCATTGTTCATCCTTTACTAGTGGGTGGTTTGTGCTCTGTTAATTTTCACTTAGTATTTTTTTTTTCTCCATGAGTTCCTGTAGGATTATTTCAATGTGTTCATTGTCATCCCCATTAGTCTGGCAGCACCTGGGGGAATACTTGAAGGCCATCATCTTTTTCTTCTGGATCCTCATTGTCCAGCTCAGAGCTATAAACTCAAGGATGCTTAGTGCAAGAGGCTGGTAGCATTGCCTGATGACCCAGGTCACAAAGCCTTTTTGTGCCAAGGGTGCGTCTGGGGTAAGACTTTGAGGAAGAAGAACTTTCTGTGACTCCTATGCTGGAATCAGTCTCTAAGGGCCGGGGTTCACCCCCTGCAGTGCAGAGGTTTTGTTGCTGGACAGGATGTGAACATCCTTGATTTTCTCATGGTCAAGTTAAGTAACTTGTCTGGGGTCACACTGTGACACATTCATTGCCAAACCTGTTCCTTTTGCCAAGTCAGTCCTCCTATGTGCTTTCTTGCTCAACCCATGCAGAATTCTAGAATTCTCAGGCAGGGAGGGAATCCATGGTGGGGGTAGGTGGGGTGGGGTCATGTCATATATTTTCCTAAACAGAACACATGGAAGTCAGAGCCACCAAAGGGGTTGTGCATTTACCTGTGGTCACCCATTTCAGCATTCCACACCCAGTTTAGCTATTCTTGCAAATGTCTAAATTTCTGCTACTGTAGTTTGATTCTGAGCCCCTCACTCTGTTTTTCCTGCCAATATGGGAATGGGCAGCTGTCTATGCTCATTTGCCTAAAAAAGTTACTTGAAAAATTACTTTCCAAATTAAAGTACCATGGTTTCTTGATTTTTTTCCCCCTTGCTCAAGGCCCAGCCCAACTTCCTGCTGCCAAGTCCAGACCCATCTCTTCTTATCACTCACAAACACTAGTGGTTCCATGGCCAAAGGAAGACAGCAGCTGGCCACTTGGGGCCATGGCCCTTCAGGGACTAGGGCTCTCTGCAACACAGTGAAAACCCAGAGAAGATGCAGTAGTTTATAGGAAGTGCAACATTCTGGGACTTTTTCCAAATGACTTTAAGATAAAGCAATTTCTGAAGAGGTTTAAGCTAAGCACCAAGGTAAGCACCTGGATGTCATCATGCCCAGTCTCTGATTTTAGAAACAAAGAACTGAATCTCAGAGCTAGTTAGTGGCAAAGCTAGGACTGATCAGGGCCACAGACCTCTTGAATGCTCAGGGAAACCAGAACCTTCTATGTTTGGTTGTGCTGTGTTAGAATTGAAGGAGGAAGCAAAACACACATGCTGTAAGTTGTGGGGACAGATGACTTCCCCATGGATCACTTGCTGCCTACTCCTTTGTCCCCAACAAGGTACCAGGCAGAGTCAAAGCTTCCACAGGTGCAGTCCTGCCCTGCTTTCCAGTTCGGAGACCTGTATTAAGGGGCCATGGGGCTTTGGTTTCACTTGTAGATATGCCTGTGCTTTCTTAAGCTTTGGCTCTGCCCTTACAAGCTCTGGGCCTTATCTTAGTTGGCTATAAAATGGGGAGAATCATCCCAATTGCCTTGTCTACTGCCCCAAGGCAGTACATCTAAGAAATACTTTGAGTTCCTCAAAGGGAGGGGTGAGGGAAGAGATTGCTCCAACAAGAGGGCGTGATTCTCATGAAGGTGGGGAGACCAGCGCGTTAAAATCCAACAGCTGTTGGCCTACAGTGCTGGTCAGTTAGAATGCATGGGAGTCAACCTCATGAGTATTGACTGTGTTAGATATTTCTCTTGAATTATTTGCACAATAACCCTATGGTGTGGGGTCTAATTTTATCTGTTTTATGGAGAAGAAACTGGAAGTCAGCAAGAAAGCTGAAATAACTTGCCCAAGGTCACTCAGCTAAGTGGTGGAGCTGGGCTTCAAGCCCAGGCGGCCCTACTCCAAGCTCAAGTTCTTAGCTAAGGTGCTTCCCTAGACCCCAGCTTGAAGTGGCAGTACAAAACGAAAGTGAGTCTTTCCCCCTCCCCAAAGGAAGGGACTGTGTGACCTGGAGAGTAAGAGGGAAGATCCGTGAGAGGAAGAACTAAAGGGGTCGGGATGAGAGACTTTAGGAACTGCTGGATGCGAGTGGTGGCAACTGCTCGTTTCTCTCCCTCTCAAGCTACTCAGCTCCTGTTCTTCACGTGGACAAGTGTAACTGAGGCTCACCCTCTCCAGCCTGCAGAAGGTTTGTGCAAGCCCACGCTATGGCCCTGACATCACCTCTGTGAGCAACGTGGTACTTTTGCAGAACTACAGTCCTCCAGGGACTTCAATTTGTATGGGAATGACAAGCACAGACGAAAGAAAAGTGAAGTGTAGGTTTGAGCTCCCATTGCCCCACTCCCAAGTCAGTTTCCTATGAAGCTATAAAACTAAAGCTTCAGAGTCTCTCACTGGCACCAGCCCTACTCAAAGCCCCATACCTGGTATTACATTAGTAACTACACACACATTTAGATATGTTTTTCTTAGAGAGCTTCCCTTCCAACCATATATGATTCAGGACCCCATCAAACCTGTCCCCTCCCCTCCCCTCTAATCAGCTAAATGTCAGAGTCCCACAACCCCCTGAGAAACACCAGTGAAACCCTCTCCTCCTGGAGCCCTCCCACACAGTATGAGCCTTGATTGAAGGTGTGATTCAGCTCGGAGTAGCTGGGTTAAGTTTTTGTAAAGAGGTTGCCGGGTGTGCACTTTAGTAGACCTCAAAGCCACCAGAAGGTAGGAGCTTAGTGTACTTTCTTTGTAACGATGACTCTCTATGATTTCTATCCATAGATAGAAGCTTGCAGGCACCGATACGATTCCACAAAGACATACAAAGTGACTATTTACATACGAGTCCATGAGCTCCTGACCATCCACGTGTGTGGACATACGTAAGCATTCCTGTGTGCCAACGCTTCTTAGATCTGTTCCATCAAGTGAGTCACTTTTGCTACAGGGACCTTGGAGGTAGAGTCATTCTCTGGGACCAAAGATACCCAGTTTATTCCAGGGGTCTATAGAACTGGGCTTCTAGACATCCACGAACAGCCAGGGCTGTTTTAGCTAGAGGCACACAGGTTCTTCACTACTAGGTTGTGGGACAGGTTTAGAGGACACGGAGGGGGCTCTGGACTGAGGGAAATCAGGGGAATGAGGGAATGTGAAGTGGAAATGAAAACCAATAAATTATGCCTTCATATCCCTTCCTCATTAGCCTCCATCCTGGACGTGGCCCATTTCTTCACACCTACCCAGCCTTCACCAAGGTTTGCTGGCTGTAATGATACAGTTCAGCTAGCTGAAGCAGAGAAGGGGTATTTACTGCAAGGATCTTGGAGGGTTCCAGAAGATTCATGGACCGAGATGCTGCAGATCACTGAGGGGCTGGTACCAGGAACGTGAGTCATCAGAATGCCAGGCCTCAGTCTCTCACTCACTGAGGCCACATGGCCACTCTTTTCTGCTTTCCTCAGCACTCCTGCATTCTGCTCTCTCCCCAGGCCTGATTTTTCTGCATTCTGAGCGGTTTGTAAAAGACTGCAACTACACAGTGCCAGAGGCTCTTGTCTTTAATTCAAAGGATCAGAAAAAATTGATTAATGCTCTGAAGTCTCTAATCCCAGTTCCTGGGAGAGAGACTAATGGCTCAGTCCAGGTCAGGTGTCCACCCTCCAATCAGCCACATCCAGGGGACCAGGGTCACACTGGGGACACACCATAAATGGTGTCCCAAGTCAAATGGTTTGTTCTCCCTGAAAACCCTTAGCTAATCTTATGGGAGAAGTCCCCTCTCCCCTGGGTTCCCATAGCACTTTATCTGCCCCTCTCCCATGGAACTTATTGCTTCTTACCTTGTGTCAATATTGCTGTTATAAAAATCTTATCCACCATCCCACATATCCATAACTTTCTTGTTCATTTATCTTCATATATCTCACAGCTCGTGCAAACCAAAAATTGAACATGTGATCAATAAGTAGTTTAAATTATGATAATCTCCAAATAAATCAATTTTCAGGAAACTTAACTTGCTCAAGTCTTTCATTTAATCTCACTCACAATTTCATTAAATACAATTAATTTACCCAGTTAATTAATTCAACTAATTTTAATTGAGTGCATCCTACATACCAAGCACTGTCTTGGCTGTGCAGAGGCTATATCACTACACAAGACAAAGGGAGTCCTTACCCCACTGAGGTTCCAAGTTAGTGGTGGAGACCATCAACAAACAGTGTTCACTATGAACTAACCTTCATGCTGGGTGCTAGGCTAGAGATGTGTAAGTCTCTAGCACTGCCCCAAGGAGCCCAGCTTCCCTGGGAATCACCGAGAAGTCCTCAGATATGTTACTGTATTCCAGGGCAGAGAAGAGTTGCAAGACTTCCAAGAGAGAGTCGTTTTACTACTAGGAGAGAAGGGGGTTGCCGAGGGTGGTTTCACTGAGATCAGTGACACATGACTGAACTTGAAGGGTGAGTATAAATTTGCTAGGGAGAATGTGAGTTATACACGTGAGTGTGTTTGCTGGGTTGGGAACAGGGGAAAGGAGCTGGGAGTGATGGTGGTCAGAGCCTTCCAGATAGGCACATACAAAGCAGATTTCAAGCACTGTGAAACCACCACTGTGTCTAGAACATGGTGAGGCATTCGGTGTGTCTGGAGCACAAGGAACATGAGGGAAAATAATGGTGAAATTGGCCAGGGTCCTTGCCTGGCCTTGTGTGCTAAACCCAGGAGGTCATAAGTTAAGTATCAAGAGTCAGCATCTGGAAGGCAATGATTGCTACTTTAGGCATGGGGCCAGGCAGAGCCTGGAGACCAACAAAAATACCTGGTCAGGAACATAGTCTCGAAGGTCCCAAAATGAAGCACTGCACCAGTGCTGCGGTCATTGACCTCTGGCTCATGGAGAGAGATGGCTGAATGGTGAGATGACATTTTCACTCTCAAATTGCAATCTTCCTCAGAAAGCACCGAATCTTCCAACTTTCACTCCCTCGTGAGTAGAGTGGGATTTTCTAGATTTTGCAATTGAATTTAAGAAATCAAAAGAAAAATACATTTGTAGTTAAAAAAAAAAAAGCCAGCAGAAAGGGATCTGTATACCCATACATCTTTTGAGTTACAGTCTTATTCCCCATGTCCTCTTAGCCGATGATATGATGAGGGTTAGAGATGAGTGATTTCCAGAGACTGCTTTGTCCTGGGATATTGTTCCTCATGGGACTGCAAGTCTGTTCTCTGCTGCCCTGAGATGCCAAGCAGAGGTAGAAGGGAGCCAACTTCTTGGGAGCTTTCCCAGGTCGAAGTCAACACTGTTCATACCCTGGTCGCATCCTACTTCTCCAGCCCTGTGTCCATCCTCTCCCTACTCCAGATGAGCCTTTCTTAGCCATGTTGGCCCTCCTGCCTCTCTCAGATGTTCATATCTGCAGGACAGTCTTAGATAACATTTTTCCTCTTCTGTGCCTGTCAAACATCACTTATCATCCACATCAAACCCAAAGGTCCTGTCTCTGTGAAGACATCCCCGATCCATTTGACTCCAAAGCCCCTTCTTCTGTATTCTCCTAGCACCTTAGACTTAACTTCTATTACCACTCTCACCTCATAATATTACTTTTGTTCTCATGTTTAGTCAACTGAATTTTTTTTTTTTTTTTTTGAGTTCAGGGATTAGACTTCAATCATCTCTGCACTCCTAGGCACTAACAACAGTGCCTGACCTCAGTGAGTGCTCTATTTGCTAATAGAGGGTGGTTTATCTGGGCATCTTGTCTGTTGGGATCGGGTAGTATGAATATGGCTTTGGGAAGAATTCCAACAAAGCAGAAAGTGGGGAAAGGGCATTCCAGATGGAAGAGATAGTATGAGCAAAGGCACTGAGGTGGAGAGCGTGGACGAATACAGGAGCCTGGAAGGAAGGAGGAGAGAAGGAAGGAGAGAGAATACTAAGTGCCAAGCATGGAGTTGGGCTCCTTCACATGCATTGTTGCACTAGGCCTTTACAGAAACTTGGTGAGGTGGCTACTATTCACCTCACCAAAGAGACAGAGGCCCACAAAAGTCATATAGCTCAAGTTGGTGATAGCGACAGGAGTAGACCAGTTTTGTTAGACTCTAAAGCCCATGCTTATCAAGGCTTTAGAGAAAAGTAAGCAATTCAAGTTGGAGCCTGGAGTAAGTGAAAAGAAACAAAGGGAGGGAAGTGCAGAAAGATGTATATTACAGAGTTATATTGTTAATAATATCTAGGGGTTTTGACGGCCTATCATGGACCAACACCTGTGCTAGATATTTGATTTTAATTTTTTAATTATTTCCATTATCTTTTCTTCAAGAGAAAGAATACAAGCACGGAAGGGGCAGAGGGAGAGAGAGAGAGAGAGAGAGAGAGAGAGAGAGAGAGAAAGAGAGAGAGAGAGAGAGAGAGAGAGAGAGAGAATCTTAAACAGGCTCCACTCCCAGCACAGAGCCTGACATGGGGCTCAATCTCACGACCATGAGATCATGACCTGAGCCAAAATCAAGAGTTGGATGGTTAACTGACTGAGCCCCCCAGGCACCTCTAGGCACGTTAAATATATCACCTCATTAAAATAAACAGTCAGCCTTATAAGGTGATTACCTTCAATTTACAGATAAGGGAACTAAATCTCAGAGAGGTTCCGTCATCTGCCCAAGGTCACCTACCCAATAAGTGATGGAGCTGTGACTTTTTTTGACTTGATTTTTTACAACCCAGGCTCATTGGGAAAGAACTTAATAGATAAATCGTCACTTAATGATTTGATTCTAAGTGACATAATAAGGGTATGGATTTCTTTTGTCTTACCTTTTCTTCTCCTCCACTTCCTCCTCTCTTCCTCCTCCTCCTTTTTTTTTTTTTTTTTACATAGGCATGTCTCAAGCTTGGGCTTTTCTTCCAACACTGTCCTTCTCTCCCTGTATATTCCTACCCACTTTCCTTTCTCCTTTTTCTGTCCCCTCTGCCCAAATGGCTAGAACTGGACCCCGATGCAAGGTTGACAAGCTAGCCTTAAAAAAAAAAAAAAAAAAAAAAAAAAAGACCAATCTTTTGGTAAGATCTTTTCCTAAGGAAGACAATGCATAGGAAAGGGAGGGGAATGTCTGGCCAAGATCTCACAATGAGATGGTAATGGCCCTGGGAGGGCAGGGAAGAAGTTGTTCCCTTTTTCTACATACTTTTCCTTTCCTTTTTCCTTCATCCTTCCTGAATGAGTGAAGTTCAAAATCAGCCTTGTTCAGAATTACCTGGGCTTGCTTGTTCAGAAGGCAGGTTTCCTGGCCCCACCTCAGATATTCAGAAGGTTTTTTGTGGGGCCCGAGAGTTGGCATTTTTCAACAAGCACCCCAGAGATTCTACAAATTGAGAATACTGCTTTCCACAATGCAGTTACGCCCATGGGCTTTAGCAGTTAGTGCTGAGATAACTTGAGGTGCTAAGAACTTGGGACTGGATGTCTTCCAGATGCCTGCCCCAACCAGGAGCGTTGACCTGGAGGCTGTGTGTAGGAGTCCCCGTCTTTCGGAATTAGTGATGTGGTTAGAGTAGCAACGTGACTCTCTGTGGACGGAAGAAGGCCGGTCGGATGTGAGAGTCTCCCTCCGTGAACATGTGTGCGTCATCTCAGCCATCGCTTGTATCTTTATTCTCAAAAACAAGTCAGTTTTGTTCCTGTCAGCATCTTGGCTGGCCCGCAACAAAGAGGGCAAGCTGAGATGGAGAGGCCCAGTCACAGGCGTGTGACAGGTGATGCTTTGGGGCATGGCTGGGTTGGGGAGAGCAGGAAAGCATTACTCAAACTGCTTTCAGTAGTAAAAGAAAAAAAAAAAAAAAACATGATTTCAGAAAACTCTGCCAGAAGATATAAGAACTATCTGCTTGTATGAGTTTTAGGGATCATAACATTTTTGGTTTTGGTTTGGTTTTGGTTTTTATCACCAGGAATGGGGTTATCCAGGCTGAGCTCTCTAAGGAAGTGAATTTCAGCCTGGATGTACCTCAAAATAAGTTGAAGCTTTAAAAAAATAGAGATGCCCAGGCCTCACCCCTGATCAGCTAAATTCAGGCTCTCGGGGGTGGGGGTGGGGGTTGGACCTGGGAAACTGTATAAAGCTCTTTGGGGGTTTTGGAGCAGCCAGTCCAGCATTGCTCCAGGGATCAGCATTTGGGAGCCACTCCACCATGGTAAGAGGGAAAAATCACACCAGTCTGAGCACTATAATACCAAGTCATCTTTGTCTCTCCCTTCCCTTCATGGCAGGAGGCTCAGAAAGGTTCCCCTCTCATCTGTCTTGTAGAGCAGCACAGGAACCTATCTAACTGTATGAAATCCAGAAGTGATTTATGAATTTAACTATATTACATACATTGATTTTCATTATATTTAAATATGAGTTGCTTGTCATTTACACCTGCCCGCTGAGTTTGCAGATGACGATCGCAGACTCTGGAATTCATGGAGCCGAGTTGGATGACATCTGTCCAAGTCATGGCAATAGAGAACTCCGGCACTGGGAGAGTTGAGGCCAATGAAGTCCTTCCCAACACAGACATTCCTTGGCTTCAATGTTAACCAGTTCAACTTGTTCTTTTCTTGATTTTCATCTGTTTTCTATGTCTCCTTACAGTCCCCACCAGGTTGGGTGCCTTGAATCATACGTGTAGTGAGAAGCTGAAAGTGACTAGAGATGGAAGGAATTAGGGCAGGTTTTAGTCATAACAAGAGTGCCCAGGGCAGCTGTTCAATTGTACACTGCACGATTCTAGAGGCACCATTCAAATTGTAATTAATGATGATAAGCACATTTATCACAACAGGTATGCATCATTTGAGTCACAGGCTGCATCTTTACTCTCAGTAAGATTTTACTGATGTCAGCATCTTTCCAGGGATAGTATAGGGCCCAATAAGGAGAGGATTTGGTGCCTAAAAGTGGTCCTGATCAGAGATGCCTGTCATAACAACCCAAGAATCAGAGACACAAGAGAGAAGAACC